CAATATTTCCCTGTTCTACAGGGTTATGAGTTGGAATTGACTTGACAATCATGGGTTATTAATTTTTGTTGAGTCACTACTATATATAAGTCATATAGTGTGCTTGTTAGGGACAGAAAAGTGACAGTTACACTGTTGTTACTGCTGTTGCTAGGTACCATCATGTCTATGTCAAATAGAACAAAATATTGCCCAGTCCTGAGCCATCTTTACAATTGTTGTACTTAACCCCCTTGCTTTTGCCATTTTCTCTTTTTGGTGGCTGTCCATTTTACCAAGCACAATGTCCTTCTTCAGGGACTGGTCCATCTTGATAACATGTCCAAAGTATGAGAGACGAAGTCTTGCTTTCCTGGCTTCTAAGGAGCATTCTGGCTGCATTTCTTTGTTTGGTCTTCTGGTAGTCCATGGATACTTTTAAAAATTCTTCTCCAATATCATAATTCAAATCTATCTATTCTTTCACTGTCTTCCTTATTCATTGTTCAATTTTCACATGCTATTCAAAACCATGGCTTGTGTCAGGTGCTCCTTAGTCCTCAAACTCATATCTTTGCTCTTTAACAGTTTGAAGAGGTCTTTTGCAGCAGATTTGCCTAATGTAATACGTTATTTGATTTCTTGACTTTTGCTTCCATGACTGCTGAATGTGGTGTCAAGCAAATTGAAGTATGTAACAACTTCAATCTTTTCTCCATTGATCATGATGTTATTTCTTGGTCTAGTTGTGAGGATTTTTGTTTTCTTTATATTGAGGTGCAATCCATACTTGAGACTGTGGTCTTTAACCTTCACTAGTAAAAATTTAAAATCGTCTTCACTTTCAGCAAGCAAGATTGCATTATCTACATATTGAAGGATAATGAGTTTCCTTCAATACTGATAACTTGTTCTTTTTCTTATAATCCAGTTTCTTGGATTATTTGATCAGCATACAGATTGATAAGTATGGTGAAAGGATACAACTCTAGCACATATCTTTCCAGATTTTAAAACATTCAGTATCCCATTTTTCTGCTTAAAAGACTGCCTCTGGGTCTATGTACATGTTCTTCATGAGCACAAATAGGTGTTCTAGATTACATATTCTTCACAATATTATCCATACTTTGTCATGATCCACACCATCCAAAGCTTTTGCATAGTCAGTAAAACACGTATTAACATCTTTCTAGGTATTTTCTGGTTTCAGACAAGATACAGCTGGCATCAGCAATGATATTTCTAGCTACAAGTCCTCTTTTGAATCTGACTTGAATTTCTAGCAGTTCCCTGTTCATGTCCTGTTGTAAATTATCTTCAGCAAAATTTTACTTACATGTGAAATTAATAATATGGTTCACTTCTCTTTGGAGTGGGCACACATATGGATCTCTTTCAATTGGTTGGGCAGGTAGCTGTCTTCTAAATATCTTGACATACATGAGTGAGCACCTCCAGTACTGCATTCAGTTTGTTGAAATATTTCTATTTGCATTCCATCAATTGCAGAGCGGGGTGCCTCTAGGCACTTAATTTGGGGAACAAGGCTTGCTGACCCATGGTGAAGTGGTATGCTCTGTGGGTATCTATTAATAGCTCCAACAGAGCTATGAAACATTGCCCAGACAGAGACCTGTCTCTGGGCATGACTGGATTTTGTTTCTGGGCAAAGGCTGCCCCTTTGGTCTAGTACTCCAATTGTTCTAAGAAGTAACTGCACTACTTTATTAACTGTTATTGTGTTAAGGTTCCATTGTGATGGTCATTGTGTATTTTGAGTGCTTTCAACCCTAAGCTTACCTTTAGCACTATTTTTTTTTTTCTTTTTCTTTTTTTCTGTCAGCATTATACTGGGCAGTGTTCTGTTGTGGTCCATAAAGTGTTCATTGGTTAATTTTGGAAGTAAATAAGCAGGCCTTTACAAGTATTTTGTATTAGTCTGGAAGCACCAATGAAATCTGCCACCATGCTGACACAGCTGGTATTTCAGATATCAGTGGCATAATTTCCACTATAGCAACAATAAGTTGTGATAATTCAACAAATTCATAGATGGTGTGGTGTAATGAATTATTTAATGTTTTGTCTAGCCTTAGTCTTTGAAATGCCCACCTAACATCTCCTGGGTGATATCAAGTGGGAGACTATACTGATAGCATGACATGATTCAGCTATGGATGTTAGCAGAGTTCGTTGTAATTGTTAAAACTTGAAACTCTAGCATGAGTGTGAAATAAACTATCTCAGAAACAGAAGGGGGTACCTCACTACCATCAAGAAAAAAGAACCAAGACTGGAATGTGTCCTTTGGGCGCCAAGAACCTTTTGTACTGAACCTCCTCAGCACATGGACAGAAAGCTGGTACTGGAGGGTTTAGCAGAGCACCAGCAGCAGCAGAAACAAGAATCTGAGTACAAGACATAGCAGTGGGCTTCCAACTTCATGGAGCAAGTAAAGCTGAGTCACTTTGGCCAGGAAGCTTGCTTGTAGAGTGGGTGCCTCCAGGTACTTAAGTGAAGGAGCTAGAGTCCAGTTACTTCAGACTGTGACTTATAGTGAAATTGTGTGCCCTATGGGCGTTTATCAGCAGCTGACTGCAACAACTGTGCTCTTACCATTTTCTGATCCTGTATTGTAGCCTATTAACTTCCCTAATCAACTCCACAACTGTCAGTGTGGTATATGGATTCTTTGTGGCTATTACAATGAATTATTATACCCAGCATAAGAAGTAGAGAGGGTCATGGGGAGAATGGTTGGTACTGTTTTTTGCATATGGAAATAAATATGCAAAATCAATGCTGATTAAAATTAAAACTGCAGTAAAATAATTCATTCTAATGCCCATTAATGTTCAAATAGCATTTGAGGTACAGAATTTACAATTCTGTCATATCAAAAAGCTTGGCTTATATTTTCTTCTTTTGCTTCGTATCTTAAAAGTCGTGTTTGTATCCCTTTCCTCTGCATCAAACATTTTTAACCATCTAAAGAGTGTTATTATGTTCCCTTCTGAGAATCTTATAGAAGCTGTAAAAAAAATGATACCAATAGTGTTTCCCACAACACTTTCTACTCAGCTGGGCTCAATAATTCGTTGCAGTTTCCACTCAGAACACAGGCACCATACTCACACTTAAGTGGTTTAATAGGGAAGCTAACAGGTTTCAATTCAGAGTAAAAAATGCCAAGGACAGCCTCTACTCCATCATGGCCAGAGACAGGTCTCTGTCTGGGCAATGTTTCATAGCTCTTTTGGGGCTGTTAGTAGATGCTCCACAGAGCACACCACTTCACCATGGGTCAGCAAGCCTAGTTCCCCAAATTAGGTGCCTGGAGGCACCCCACTCTGCAAGCAAGCCTCCTGCCCAAAGTCATTCAAGTTCACTTGCTCCCTGAGCTGGAAGCCCACTACTCTGTGTCATATAATGGCTTTTGGTTCTGCTGCCGCTTCTCCTCTGTCACTTCTCTGGTGTCTCAGCTTTCTGTTCATAGATTGGTGGTGGTGGTTATGTGCCTTGGAGTCGGTTTTGTACCGGGTTACCGAATCTGTAAATCTTTACAGGAGCAGAAAGCCTCAACTTTCTCGCATGAAACAGCTGATAGTTTTTAACTGATGATCTTGCGGTTTGCAGCCCGATTCGTAACCACCTGGTAGCGTAGTGGTTATGAATCGGGCTGTGAACTTCAGGGTCAGCAGTTCGAAACTACCAGCGGTTCCGTGGGAGAAAGATGAGGCTTTCTGCTCCCGTCAAGATTTACAGCCTCGGAAACCCTGTTTCAGGGTCGCTATGAGTCAGAACCGACTCCACGGCACATTACAACAACAACAACAACGCTACAGAAACCTTGGAATCCAAATGATGTCCTCCACTCCTGGCTCTTCTTTGATTGTAGTGAGACCCCCCTTCTGCTTATGAGATGGCTCATTTTATACCCAGAAGGATAGCAAAATTAACCCATCACAAATAGTGCTGTTAGCAATCACTCTCAGCTCTTTCGTATAATCCATCAGCATTTTCTCTGATCTTTTACCCAAACCCAGTGGGAAACGTTGTTTTAGTGGGAGTTTGCAAAAAGTCCTGGTATGGCATTGTGGGATAATGCACTGGACTGCAGTGTTATTTGAACCACAAGGTTGGTGGTTCAAACTCACCAGCTGCTCCTCAGAAACCCCATGCAGGGTCAATATGAGTCATGAACTGAATCAATGACCTTTAACAACAACAACAATCTCTAGAGGAGACATTAAGTAATTCACTGCACTGCAGATGCTATAAAACTTTTCACCAGCAAAAAGGCATACACTTAGCATACAAACAATATGTGGCATATAATTATCGAGATCTCAAAAAAACTCACAAAAATAATGTTGAAAGACACTACAATAAATGACATGGGTAAGAATCCTTAAATTTCTGAAGATATAAATTAGACATGCTCTTTAAAAAAAAAATTCCTGTTAAGTTACGATTGAATTTGGAAATTAAGAGATGTCTTTTCAAGGAATTATGTTTGTGTATTAACATATAATCTCTAATCCAACTTATTGATAAATTTGTACTCTGCTATAAATATGTGCTTGCAGTTTGCTCCTGTGATGAAAAATCACTTATCAGACCAGGGGTCTGGTAAATTCAGCATGAATTTAGGTCATAATATTAGGTCTTTCCTAAACAGGGCCATATGTGAAAGTGATCTATGACAGATGTGTCTGCATATATGCATTAGAGCTTTGTTAATGTTGCCACTGCTATTGCAATGAGCAAGCTACAATCCTATGGCGTTTTTTTCTCCCCCAATATAATCAATTCCCATTACCCTTCTGTGCTTCTGGGCCCCAGAGTAGGTTGGAAAATCCATGCCTTAAGATTATCTTTAGACCATTTTCAGAGACGTACAGGTAATATCATAAACATATCCCAGTCTTGTCATTTGGGGTGAGGAAGTGATTCTACATGGTGGCTCCTTTTGGATGTAAATTGATTTTAATGATTTCTTTCTTTCTCCTGGGCAGGATTTATGTGGGCATCATTCATGTGACACCCTGGGAATGGCAGACGTTGGGACCATATGTTCTCCAGAGCGCAGCTGTGCTGTGATTGAAGACGATGGCCTCCACGCAGCTTTCACTGTGGCTCACGAAATTGGTATGCAGCGCCTTTTCTCTTCCCTCGCCAAATCAAACACTTGTAACAGCTGCAGCAGGAACCAAAACACTTGGCAATTAATTCCAGATTTCTCCTGGTTCAGATGTACCATTGGGGATTAAATGTGTTTATATTTGTACTAATAATAGAGAGAGAAGGCAAAGCAGACACCCAGTCCATGTTTCCTTTCTGACAGTGTCATTTAAGAGCTTAAGAGAACTTCACTACTGCTTCTGTCTGTTAAAGCATCCCTAAATGACTCTTGGAGTCCTGGTGTGGTGTTGTGAGTTAATGTGCCAGACTGCAAAGCCGTTTGAACTGCAAGGTCAGC